GCGAAACTAAATAAAATACAATTTTGTAGACTTCCACGTTTAATAGATCGTCAGCAAAAGATATATTATATCATTTCTATCTACAATTAAAACGATATCATAAAGATAAATTTATATATGAATTGCTTAATCAGCAACTTTGTATTAAATCTCAAACATATATCTATCATTAAATTGTCCGCCGCACCAGGAATAATAATAACTTACCTTACGCTAAAAGAATGTTTGGTCCACTTAAATGCATGTTTATTACACATTTCTTATGTTCTTTTCTCACAATAAATCAATGAGAAAAAAATCGTAAGACAATCATGTGAATATATATCTTAATAATCTGAAGCCGTTGAAACTGACACATGGCTTCACATTTAACGCATCGAAACTCTAAGAGGCCCAATCATAAAACTCTTTCCGTATTTTATGATAAAAGGCCTCTTAAGGTAAACCATTGGTAATGGGCACTATAATGAACTGTGAAATTGACAACATAAGACAGCTATGTTTCTTAAAGGTCACATGTATGCAAATTTAAAAAAAAATACCGTGTGGTTTATGAGTTATGGATATATTTCTGAACTAAAACTTTGCTCTATAATATCATTATAATGCAAAATGTTTTCCTATTGTTCCTTGTTAAAAACAAATAATAACATTCAGGTTACAAATAACAAGAATAATGATTGTTTCTAAACAAAATATTTTCATGAAAAATTATGTATAAAAAATTACTCTACACCACCCACTTAAAATACTTTTTTGATCATTTCCCAATATAAAAAGCCTTATTCAAAATATCCCTAAACTTGACCACAGTAAGGGGCTGTTTTCAAAGTTTGCCTTACTTTTCTTTAAAGTATATTAATATAGTTGATTATACGAGATATGATATTCTTTTACCTTATAGCATTGATTTTTATTAAACTTTGAAAATATCTGGTATCATATTTGCTATTAAATGTGGCATTATAAAGCAAATAAATACATACAATAATTATATAATTAAAATCAAACAATTTTTTCTTTCATAAGGGATCTGAGAGATACCTAAATAATGTAAAGAGGAAGAAAGAAAGAAAAAATTGTTGTCCCTTCTGGGGTTTGAACCCACGCCCCTCAATTTCAATGTAGTTGACAGGTGATTCTAGCCTATTGAAATACTCTTCAACAAAGTGGAGGTAATGCATTACCCATGGTCTACCTTAAATAGAACATGAATACACACTGGGTTTTAACGCAATGTATATCCCTTAGTATGGGGGACCGCTCAATCAATATGAAAATTAGCATTTTCGGGGTAATACTCTTAAAGTTACTTCCGTTTACAAATATATGGGACTTTTATTTACATAGGGTTATCATGAAGTTCAGCACAGGATAAATTATGTGCACAAGCACAACGTGCAATACTTTTTTATTTATAGTTATAAAAAACCATATGGTTATTTTCCAGCAAACGAACTTTTCATTTTATTTGATAGTATGGTTAAACCTATTTTATGCTATGGATCACAGATATGGGGATATGAATTTGTTGATTCTATCGAGGCAGTTCAAAATAAATTTTGTAAAAAGCATTAAGTGTAAAAAGAACAACTAATTTTAGTTTTAGGTGAATGTGGACGTTTGCCATTGTGTATAACTTATTTTGTTAATTGTATAAAATACTGGACAGGTGTAAATTGTTGACTATGCCAGATAATAGATATCCCAGACAATGTTATAAAAATGTTGAATTCCCTAGATGAGAGCGGTCGAAATTGTTGGGCATCTAAGAAAAAATCACTACTTTATACTTATGGTTTTGGATATGTATAGCTTGCACAAGATATTGGAAATATAGACATATTTATTTTAACTTTTTGTCAACGGCGGAAAGATTGTTTGAACAAATATGGCATAATGATATAGATATTGCGTCCCGTTGTTACCATTAAAAAAATTTTAAGAGTAAATTAAATCCTGAACATTATCTTTACTGTGATATTCCAAGAAAATATATGGTTGCTCTTGCAAGGTTTCGATGTTCCTGTCACAAATTAACGATTGAAATGGGAAGACAAAATAATATACCACTTCATAAAAGAATATGTTTGTATTGTTTTAACCAAAATAATGTAACTGCTATTGATTGTGAATTTCATGCCTTTTTTTCAATGTTCTAAGTATAATGACGTCCAAAATAATTATCTCTATAATTGGTTTTCAAATGGTACTACAATTAACGATTTTTATCCGCTGATGAATACACAAAATGACGAAAATATTTGTAAACTATCTCTGTTTGTATTTCACATGTTGAAAATTACCAGCTATTGACTTATTTTTTTTCTAATTTTATATGTTATGCAACAACATTCAATACATGTATACAATATTATATTTATACTGATGTGTATTTTGGGCCGGAGGCCTTTATTTACTTAAATAAAGTTGAGTTGAGTTGAGTTGAGTATTTAGGGTATCTATCTTTGTGTCACCTTCCTCTTTTACTTTTTTATTTGACCGAGTCGCATAGATGAAATATCAAAAAATAATGACTAAATGTTGAAATTTTACAACTGACATCATATACAATTACAAAATGACTTAGTTCAAAAATGTCGCCTAACTATGTCAAAGGTCTATTGCGCAACATAGGCGCTGACGATATCATAAAGCTAGAGGACATAAAAGTTGTTGAACTATACTTTTGTAAGCAGAGTCAAGCCGAGCCTGCAATTTTCACGTGTGATATTTCTATTCATTAGTTTAGCGCGTTTACTTCTTTGACATTAATATTTTGACTAACAATTATTTGTTACAGCTGTTAAAAGTTGATTAGTACGTCAGTTTTAGAGACTCTGTGTATATGTTTTGTTGTTCGACGTGAAAACTGACAACAATGTTGTTTAATGCTTAAATATGTGCTTCAATGTGTGAGATATGTACCTTCAAATAATGTTGAAATACCCCCACTAAACCGAGTCTGCAATTTTCCCTTACTTAACTGTTTTTTTTCTAGTTTGTCCCATTCTCTAGTTTTCGTACGGCGAGAAAGCTGTGAAGGGAAAAATTGTTGGTTTGGACATTAACGTCTTCATATGAGATATAAAAACTAACGAGTACATTATATCTGAATACATCTAAGGTCAATGCCACAATAGTTAGGTGCAGCACGAAAGTGATACGAAATTAAAGGTTAAGTACATACGGGTTGTAATGAGTACAGTCTGCTCACGATATAGATTAACTATTTACGCTATATATTTATATGCAAGGTCGTAAATATAACAACATTTGTATGTGCATGCATCGTGTTTATGTCCTAACATGAATACGGTTAACATAAAAAATTAAGTCTATGCATATAAACGTCAAGTCGTTATGATAACGAATATTGTATTATCATGCCATTGTATTTTTTGTTTGTTTGTTTTATAATTTGGTAAAATGTACATCAGCTAAGGGAAGGAAATCTCTTAGAGATAAATTTGAACATATGTGTTATATATTCACTTGTTTATCTTTTAACGTATTTTTAACGGAATCCCTAAAGAACGCCCAAAACGACAGAATGAAAATCATGAATATTCGGTTTGAGCCTGTTCATAGACGTGTACTTAAGTGTTCAACGTATAACTTAGTATTCGAAATGATATCTGAAATCAAGTAATATTTAGGTAATCATGTTCTTCCCATGTTTTGTTCAGCACCAAACTTCTCACTATAATACGAAACGTATAAAAATGATTTTATCTATTTTACATATATGGAAAATGTTTTATATCGAAAGACTCGCCATGGAGTCAAGGAAATCATGCATCTCCTGTTTTTATCTCGTTTTTTTTGTTTTAGTTGGAGCAGACGCATGACTTTCCCTCTACACAGATATAACAAATCTATGACTTTTCAAAGGTCATACAGTTTATATTTGCAAATTTGGCATGGCAATCGCTTTGATAAAGCAGCATTTTGATGTAACAAAAATTTGAAGAGCTGAATTGATAAAGGATAATGCGAGAGGGGTGCTCGTCGTCATGGTTTGCTACATCAAAGTATCATTGTAATGACCTTTTTAATGCTTCTGGGGTCAACGATACCTAGAAACTTACACAAAGGAAGTCTGGGATAGTGAAGACCCTGTAAAATGAATTCCATTAAAATTTTGTTACCGTCTCGTTTTGGAATGGGCGAGGGCGCATGTTAGGCAGACTAGATAAAACTGGAGACATGTTCCCCTTGATGTAGGTTTTTTCTAGAATTTTATTGACAGACGTGCGAGAGTACATGGGAAAATGTCTTAAGCCTGAATGTCTAAGCATTACGTTATGAGAATGTGTCAGTAATGATGTGAGGACCAACGTCTTTGCAAGGCTTAGCCTTGGAGCACTTAACAGGAATTGGTACTAAAACAAAGGTTTATCGTATTCTTATAACCAACCTCTTATAAATTATCTAATTAAAATAATCTAAACTTAATAGTAAATAGGGTTTTTATTTATAAAAAGCAATACTTAAATAAATTTTTTTTTAACCTACCGTCATGTCATTAAACTATACGTAACAAGATTGTTGGTCAGCATGTCTACCTGTGCATCTTGGGTATGTTTGTACATTTATTTAACATTTGTAGTGTTATTGTCTATTGACTTAGTAAAAAATACAAATTTTAGCTTTCACATAGTCTTAAAACTTTACAGAAATGTTTGTCTGCATGTGTTGTTGTGCACCTGGTTTGTTTGTGGAGTTATTAAGTATTACTTATTTCCCTTGAATTAGATAATTGCATTTTTCAACTTGTGTCACGCGTCTTCCAGAAAGTATCTGACCTTGAGTCATGAAACGTTACAGAAATGTTGGTCAGCATGCCAATTTTGCTTTTGGATTCACTTAGAAGGATTGTCAACCGCATACATAATTATATATTCATGCATGGAATCATTGCGAAAACGTTGTCTGTCAATATCTGTTACAATTTTTATAAAGTAGTCTGTAGAATGTCACAATATTGACCTTGGCAATTACAGTGTAACTTTTCTTTAGATAAGAAGTTCAAAATACACCATTAGCCTTATCTGATGTTAGTATATAGTAGAGCAATGTGGAAGATATATTTCATTTTTTGTATATTATGGCTTCACACGGACCAAATAGGTTGTGTTTTTATTACAATGATACATCTTTAACTTTTATAAGATGTGTTAAATTTTGATATTACAATTGTATTATTATTTGCCATCCTTTATTTAATTAACGCTATCTGTAAAGATTAGGGATAATATAAAAAAGTAATTGTTTCTACATTAGATCTTGGTTTGTTATTTTGGTCTTAAAATACATATTTTTATTGATAAACTATAAAGCATATGTTAACGTCTGGGAAACGTACTGAATTTTGTTGATGCATTTTTATCTTGTTCGTGAAAACAAATATCTTCTCAATGTTGAACATAGAAAGTTGCCAAGACGGCTGGGTGTCTCACGATACAAGATGCTACCATTTTAGTCACGATGAGGAGTCCCTCCCTGTGGCAGCCGTAAGTACACCTGCATATATTGTTAAGGCATCCATCTTTTATATGACTATACACAGATGTGGCCGAAAGTACAATTGCGTCTATTGTTGAGGCAGCCATCTTTTAAATATCTGTAGACAGGTGTGTCCGAAAGTGCAATTGCATCTTTTGTTGAGGCAGCCATCTTTAATATAACTGTAGACAGGTGTGTCCGAAAGTGCCATTGCGTCTATTGTTGAGGCATCCATCTTTTATATAACTGTAGACAGGTATTGCCGAAAGTGCAATTGCGTCTATTGTTGAGGCAGCCATCTTTTATATAACTGTAGACAGGTGTGTCCGAAAGTGCAATTCCTTTTATTGTTGAGGCAGCCATCTTTTATATAACTGTAGACAGGTGTGGCCGAAAGTGCAATTGCGTCTATTGTTGAGGCATCCATCTTTTATATAACTGTAGACAGGTGTGTCCGGAAGTGCAATTGTGTCTATTGTTGAGGCAGCCATCTTTTATATAACTGTAGACAGGTGTGTCCGAAAGTGCAATTGCGTCTATTGTTGAGGCAGCCATTTTTTATATAACTGTAGACATGTGTGTTCGAAAGTTCAATTGCGTCTATTGTTGAGGCAGCCATCTTTTATATAAATGTAGACAGGTGTGTCCGAAAGTATATCTGTGTCTATTGATTAGATGGCCATATGTAAATGAACTTTGTTCATGTAAAAATACATATGTGTGGCCGAATTTGGATTTCACCTTCTAAATCTAAAGAAAAGGCAGTCAAAATCTAGAAACCATTATTAGAAATCATTTGATAGTAAGAAATACAGATAATGAACTTTAATGAATGACTGAATATAAAGAGCGTATTTTGTATATTTAATACACAAGGACCGTGCTAAAGTTGATTTGATTATTAATTATAATGTGGAACTGTTTTTAAATATTGGCAATTTTTGTTTTTCTTCTAATAGTCAGTGGTATGGAATTCCAAATAACCATTGCATTAAATTTGAATGTGTAAAATTATAAAAATTAGTACATGGTTTGTAAGACGAAATTGAATTTCCGTGAACTATTGATCTTAGACTATACTTTGATAATTAGATATGGCAAGTAAGTCTCGGATATATTGAGGGACATATTATTCATTGCTTTTAATACTTGTACACCGGTGTGAAAAATACATCTTTTCATAAAGGACACTATTTTTAACATGTTATACACATTTTCTGGTCTTATATTAGATTTGAAGTCAGTCCAGAGGGCTGAAATTATAGGTTTTTTTTAGATCAGTCATTATTTTGTTAAATCTTGAATTAATGCTATTATAGCTAATTCAGTTTATACACAAATTACAGTTTTGTTTTAGCTTGTATGCCAAAACATGGGTGGGGAACTAGCAGAAATAGAAACTGCAGAGGAAAATGTTTTTCTGATAAACAAGGTTAAAATTTTGCAAAGTAAGTAAATTCTATGTTCTCTTAATATTCGGTGACAATTTTATGTATTAACAATTATCAAGACTTATAAGTTTATTTCATAAGTTTCAAAAATAAATATGAAAAAGTATAACCGTTAAAAATGTATTTAGGTATTTTAAACAATGCTAATTGAAAAATGGAAAGGGTTAATAGGAAATGATTACGGCATTTGTTGCATTCAAATCAAATATCTAAAACGAGGTGAGCGCATATGAGAGATATGTAATCGAATAAGAACATACCTGATAACAAGAGTACAAACAGGTTGTAATATTGAGAATAAGTTTGAGTGCATTATTTCATCATAATTTAATAAGTTCAGTTACTTAGTTATATAACCACAAATCATTGTCCCGTGCGTCATAAATTAACAAATTATGGATACTTCGGAGTTGAATGCTAATAATAATAATGATAATAATAACAATAAAAATCATAATAATAAAACACAAAAACAAATTTTAAAAGTAACGAATTTTAAAAGTAACATTAAAAAAAACATTTCATGTATTCTTTTGATTGTTAATTTATTTGCAGTTTCAAGATTTTATAATGCAGGCGTAATACTGTCCAGAAATTGACATCAAATAGGCATACGAATATGGAATTTGCTAATTCGCGCGAAGATGGCCCCGAAATTGGTCGACATCCCCTCAACAGCCGAAGCAAGTACGATTCTTTAGGTCACGCGTTCGTATCCGGTCTACACACGATTCCTACTGAAGTTCACACACTGGTTATTGTTGCTGGCTCGTGTACGGGTAGCGTTCATTGAACGCCGCCTTTCCTTTTTGATCTTGTTTATCATATTTTATTAAACTTTATCATGCCACCCAAGGTAGGCTTGTAGGAGTTGCTCATCATGTTTTCTTAGGTGTATCAAAATAAGCAATGCTGCTGCATTTTATTTTTCGGTTGACATCAAAGCATGCAATTCTACAAGAAATAAACTGAAAATAATTGATAATTAATTGCACATAATGGAGGTTTTTGGTGTCTCAGTACAGATGTGCAAGACTGACAGATAAGGAAGATGATCTGAGGCTAGCCTTTTAGATGTCCAACATCTTAAACATGCATCGCATGAGCCACTCGAATTTGCTGCCTTCGTTCTAATCGTGGTCCCATTTCGATGACATTGTACCAAAATACGATGGCGACATGACGGTATTGCGGGGGCTTCACGTAGTTGTGTACCCTTCTTAAGGCAGTCGGGAATGTTCGTATTTCCTTCGTATTGTCTTCTTTAGGCGATTGCACCGATACTCACACGAAGTAATGACAAAGGCTACATGATTTTAAAAGATGGGTTTACGAAGGCCTTACTAAGCGCAAAATTGGCATACGAATTCAACAAGAAAATTAACTTTCTAAATGTATTCCGGCAATATTTTGGCATGCCAAAAAGTCTAAAAAATTAGCCGGGGGTCATATGATGGCAAAAGATGCCCTCACGAATGACCTGATGTTGTAATTTGAACATTTCCTTATTCGTGTTACCATCTGATGCCTTATTCGGGACAGTTTGACGCCTGCTAAGTATTTCCCGTTATTGTAAGATGTCGTGGTTGATATGTACATACATTGGAATAAACACTTTAATGTAAATAAAAAAGGAAGATATCACATCACATGGATATCATTATTTTATATAACGGGCACTACAAACCAGAGTATATAATAAAGTGACAATTGTTAAGTGTAGTGGATGTGTGCATAAGACGCTTGAAGCTGTTGAAATCCCGTCCAGGTTTCTATAAGACAGATTTTTTCTGAAATTACACCATTAAACATGATGTCAGTAGCATGCCTCAAGGTCCATACTTATTTGTATAACAATTAGGAAAATTTAGTTTAAAGTAAATTATTGTTAAGTGTACAAAGTAAGTAATTTGCACATTGTATACAATCCACGTGAATTACCAAACAAATGTCAAATTAGACAAACTAGCCCGTACTGCATCAGTCACGCAGTAAACATATGGTGATATTTTATTTTGTTTGCGTTGTTGTTATATTAAAAGTACTCTGTCAAGTCGTTGTAATACTTTATGCTTGTAAGTGAAAGTCTGGCTTTTTATTTCGTAATATCCCATATCACTCATAGTATACATGATTCACTCATGGCGTTGTGAACAAAGCTTTGTCAAACTTTTTTTGTGGCAGTCGTATAATTTTACGATTCTGTTAATTCTAAAAGTTATTTGTGCATCTTGTTCTTTGAAGTATTATAAGTAAATGTCTTGATACAAAGACAATTACTGCGCTTAACTGTATATTAAGTCTTAAACTCTAACACAAGAGGGCCATGATGGTTTCAGGTCGCTCACCTGTATAAAGGCACCCGTTGCTGGGCCAGTTTAAACACCAGGGATTTTATTTAAACAAACTTGGAAGACACCCATTAGAAGATGTTTCACGATGTTAAGTTTAAAAAACACACATATAATGAAAAACAACAATCTACCCCTTCCTCCCCCCCCTTGGCAGGGTCAATTTTAACCCAAGGGCTTTTATTTGAACAAACTTGGTAGACACCCATAAAAAGATGTTTCATGCTAAACAACTAAGCTCTAGCTCATTGGGTTTTTTAAAAAGAAGATTTTTAAAAAGTTTTTACTATATGCGTATAGGGAAAATCAAAGGCCTCCTTGGGCGGGGGCCAATTTTGACCCCTGGGCTTTTATTTGAACAAACTTGGTAGACACTCACTAGAAGATGTTTCATGCTAAATATCTTAGCTCTAGCTCTTTGGGTTCTTTAAAAAAAGATATTTTAAGTTTTACTATATGCTAAATTGATAAAACAGTATAATCAACATTTAAAAATTTCCACGGCGTAAATAAAATTATCAAAAAAATATTCACACTCAAAAATATGGTGCTTAGCAAAATAAAATATATAATGTAACGTTATCTTATGTAAATGAACACTTTTCCTTTGGCGTGTTATTTATTGTATTTTCAACGTGATCAGAATGCAAATCGTGTTTGAAAATATATTATCATTTCATTGGACAAATAGCTATAAATAATTGCTATGTAAGTTTTTGATTTATTTTAGATTATTTCTGGATTGGCCTGACAGATATTCAAGAAGAGGGAATTTGGCGCTGGTACTCAAGCAAGCGTTTGCTGACTACTACTGGATTCTCAAGTTGGGCTCCAGGACGGCCAGACAATATTGGCGGCAAAGAAAATTGTTGTCAAATACGATCAGACGGTCTTTGGGGTGATGACCAGTGTCATGTATTTAAATTCTATATCTGCGAGAAGCCACTAGGGTATGTATTTAAGTATCATTGTTTTGTGTGTTTGGGGCGGGGATGGCAGTGTGGCAGGGTTTGGGAATGTAGTATACTTATCCTTATGGATTTTTCAATCATCATAATGATATTGCCTGCATTTTTCAGATCGTCTATTGCGACCTGTCTAGGATGCACATACATTGTTTCCTCTTTTAGGGCACGTGCATACGTTTACTATAGCCCATACGCCAAATTTCTAATAGAGGGCGTAGACCTGCCCACTGTGTCCTTCAATCAGTCTCAACCAAGCCCAGCATAATTTTCAATTAAAATTGAATTTAAAAGAGATTGTTTTTTTTGTTTTTTTTTGTACTTGTAAACTTGACAAAGCATTTTTGTTTCAGAAACACTGAAATCATCGGATGATGAATGATATGCATGATGAAAAGCAAGAAAATGTATATGTCAGTGCATTTTTATTCCTAATTGATTACAGGAAATAAAATATTTTCAAAGATTGCATTTTCTGTTGTCATATCTCTTTTATTGTATATCCTTATTTTGTTTATCATTCTTAAATACAGACACGATGCTCCACCATTGGTTACTTTTACTACTTACATCCAATGATTTTTTACAAGGGATATTCTTATGTCGACTCGTGGTAAATTATCTATAAAACAGTATACATTAAACACTTAATATTTCAAATTGCTCTGTAAGATTTCTTTATTTTTAATTATTATTGTGTGATATGTCGATAATAGTCAATGGTTCATGCTAGTATTTAATGTTATCTATTCAGATTATTATTGCATAATTACTGGGAATAAAGGGGAAGGGAATACGAGTTTGACTAAGTTAATATAATGTTGACATTTTATTTTATAATATCTCTAAAATCAAAAAAAAAACAAACAAAAAAAACACACAAACAAACAAAAAAAAAAAACAAACAAAAACTTAAAAAAACAAATTTATACAAAATAAAATTTGTACTTTCAATAAATCATTAACTGCACAGCTTCTCATAAAAAATTTGTACACAAGCTCAAATTAAATTGCAAAAGTATTTACAGTAAACATTAAATAGCGTAATGTGCACATACATTGTTGTTATTCCTTTTGCGTTTTGTGTTTTGATTGTCCAATAATTGACAATTAACTCATGACCAGATGGAAGCCTAATTTTCTCTGTTTTGGAATAGTTGGCAGATTAGATTTTTTAAAATTTTCCGCCGATGGAATCGGGAAGGGGATATTGCATTGACGATGTCCGTCCCTCCGAATTTCGTTTCTGCGCTCGCTACTTCTCTGCAACTACTGACTGGAAATCAACAGAATTGCAACCATCAATAGGAAGAGGAGATGCGCACATTATCGCTTTGTTCCCGTCAGACCCATCCATACAGAGTTATGGCCTTATTTATTATTATATATTATTTATGTACTATGCATAAATTGCAAATATCGTTCACCGCTACTTCTCTGCAACTACTGGCTGAAATTCAACTTGATAGGAAAAATCAATACCAAAAGGAGATGCGCATATGGTCGCCTTGTCCCTGTCAGACCTTTCAACACAGAGGTAGGACCCTTGAAAAGTTATTCAGTATGCATATATAGCAATAATCGTTTCCATTTTATTTCTCTGCAGCTACTGGGAGGTATTCAACGAAACGTTATTGAATCCTTGAATACCAAGAGGAGATGCGCATATCATCGCCTTGCTCCAGTCAAACCATAATAAAAGTTATTGCCATTGATTAGTTATGCATTATGCATGTAGGACAATATCGTTTCCGCGCTATTTCTCTACAACTATTTGTTTGATTTCAAGGAAACTTTATGGGAAGCATAACTACTAAGAGGATATGCACACATCCTCCTCTTGTTAAGGTCAGACCTTTCAACTCAAGAGTTATGGCCCTTTAACAGTTATGCAGTATGCATATTGAGAAATAGTCTTTTATGTGGTATTTCTCTGCAACCACTGGCTGGAATTTAAGGACACTTTGTGGATACAATAAAATACCAATAGCAACTGTGCATATAGTAACCTTGGTCCTGCCAGACCCTCCAACACAGAGTTATGGTCCTTGATTAATTATGCTGTATGCATAGAAAGCAATAATCGTTTCTGCGCTAATTCTTAGTCAAACCGTTAATACAAAATTATGGCAATTGATGCATTATGCATGTAGTGCAATATCGTTTCCGCGCTATTTCTCTACAACAACTGAATGGAATTCAATTAAACTTTATGGGAACCATTAACACTAAGAGGAGACGGGTTTGTCGCTGCCTTGTTCAGGTCAGACCCTTCAACACCGAGTTTGGCCCTTGATTAATTATGCTGTATGCATAGAAAGCAATAATCGTTTCTGCGCTAATTCTGAGTCAAACCGTTAATACAAAATTATGGCAATTGATGCATTATGCATGTAGTGCAATATCGTTTCCGCGCTATTTCTCTACAACAACTGGCTGGAATTCAATTAAACATTATGGGGACCATTAACACTAAGAGGAGACGGGCTTGTCGTTGCCTTGTTCAGGTCAGACCCTTCAACACAGAGTTTGGCCCTTGATTAGTTATGTAGTATGCGTATGGTTCAATATTGCTGTTTCTTTGCAACTGCTGGATGGAATTCAGCAAGACTTTATGGGACCGTCATAACAAAAAGGCAATTTGCATCTCATTGGCATATCCATATAATACTGCATAACGCGAAAGTATGGCGTTTTATGGCCCTGAATGTTGATCATGTACACAGCATATACTATTTTTGCCATGATACAGGCAACGTTTATAAGAAATAAATCTAAATGAACTAGTCGACACTCGTATACCATCAGACATGATACCAAAATATACCAGAATAAAACTAACATAAACAATTGGATTTATTCCTATCTAACAATTGCCAATGGCACTCACATATTGACAATATTAGTAATAAAGAATGGAACAGTTAAACATAATGAGAAAATTAAAATTTATATATGAAAAAATTCTGTCGAAAAATTGTATATGTCGTTTACAAATGCAATTCTCAAATATGTAGACGTCGTATGGGGAATGAACTGGATCTTTTAGATGAAACTGGGACTAATATAATCCAAAGTAATTTAGGAGAAACAACACACATTCAGGATATCTTATATTTTTAATGTAAAGGAGAATTAATCATACTTAATGAGACCTAACTTTGCTGATTCATCATGAAACAGCAAAGTGGTGTCATAACTTTCTAATTCTTTAACAATATAAGAATCATCAGTCAAAACAATTTTTATACAAATTTTCATTATTATAACTAACAAGTTACTGTTAATATATCTTTTTGATCATATATAAACTTCTAAGGCACTTTTGATTTTACTGCATCTAAGTTCATTCAATCTATTTTATAAATAAATAAGCTAGTCTATATTATCAATCGATCAGTTTTGTTCAATAAGAATATTTTCTTATTGTAATAGTTTTTCATTAACATTTCTTACATTTGCCTTAAATGAGCTATAAGAAAAAGTTTTACCTCTAATTTTCATTAGAAATGTCTCCAGAAAATTTTCAGCATTAATAACAAAATATTTGTATTTAATATTTAATCTATATAATAAACTGGTAATTTATATTATAATTTTCTTCTTTCTATTTTCTAAGTTAAGACATAAATATCATATGAATAAGCATAATTAAATTTTCAAAAAAAACAACTTTTCCATGATTTATAGAAACAAAAGAAATATCTAAAAATGTTTATGAATGACAAATCTATATAACTTACATCTATGTCACATTTACATATACACAGATTAATCTAAAATCTAATCTACCTTGTTCTATTTGGTTAGTTCGTTTCTATGTATATTGTTTGACATCACCAAGCAATTCTCTAAAAGGAATCATCAACATCTTTTAGTGAAAAGAAACAAGCCTTTATACAGTCGACTCCGCGTATAACGAAATCGCTTATAACGAGCTATCGTCAATAGCGAACTAAATATGACATCCCCGGCCAATTCCTTCATTATTTTATATAAAATCACATCGCTTAATACGTACTCGCTTAAAACAAATTTTCGGCTATAGCGAACCATTTTTGCTAGTCCCAAACGGCGAAAAAGATGTCAATTTCTTCGGTTAAAACAAACTGTTAATTATAATTGAAATATCGTGATGCTCTCTATTAAGATTATGACTACCGCTATCCGATACTTATTTAATTGAGTTATTTCACAGGTAAGATTAAGATTTTGATAAAATGTTCTCACGACATAATTTCCAATTTGTCATGGAAAATTTGTGTTTCGCAACCTCAGTTGATAAATTGCTGTCAATACCCAATAATTACCAAATAACCGATTTGTTGTTTTCAATATTAATAATAACAAATAAATAGTAAAAGACAACAAATAATAAGCACTTTATAGACAAGTACTACATGTCTAAATACATGTACCATGTACATAATATATTGTTCAATAAAATGACCTGCATTTAATTACCGCTGCCGTAAAATATCGATTATAACAGTAACCAGTGACAGGTATGCCTTTTTCACGGCAAATTTACCCACCTAAACAAGTCAGCATGTTTTGCACATTCGCTTTAAGCGAACCTCGGATATAACGAACGATATTTAAAGTCACACTAAGTACGTTATAAGCGGAGTCGACTGTATTATGTTTTTTTTATTGATAATCATGGTAAACTATGTCTGGATTCTAAACAAGATTTAAGTCACCACAAAATATTGCAAATTTCTTATCAATACAAAAAACTTAGTCATAAAAACTAAATAAAATAAAAAAATAATTATTTCAGTTTTTGTTGAATATGATTTAAATTATCACACCTATTTATGTTATCATTTAAACATCCGAAATTACAAGTGGAATTTTTAAAAATTACTTATTGACAATTGTTATCATAATGATATATTCATCATTGTATAGACATATGTACATTGTACAGAACAACTACATCTGACCAAACCTAATCCCAGTGAAATAAATCTTGATAATCTTCCTACCACAAAAAAGTTAAATTATACATGTACTTTAGCACGAATAAACTAAGGATATTTGGGACCTGTAACAAAATTCATTATGCATGAAATTACATATAAAAATAAATATAAGACAAGTTCTCGTACAGAAAAAAAACTTTATAAACAAGCAAATGAAATACACGTTTAAGAACTCAATGATAATTAATTCCTTGTGTCATGTTTTGTAGATTGTCTTTTAAATGTTAGTTGCAACAAGAACAGTTATCTTCTACTGTATGATAATATGTGCAACATAAACACTTTTGCTTAATAAAAATTGTACGATTTTAATGTAGAAGATGTTTTATAATAAAAGTGTTTTAAATAAATGACTGAATAGAAAATATATACTTGTATACTTTTTTTTGAAGCAAAAATTATGTATATTAGAAACTTTAATTCCAATTTGATTTGAGATTGGATGAAAAAATCAGGCAACTGTGCATGTACATGATTACGCAGTAAATATACAATATATGATTGTATAGTATATATAATAATAATTTATATAGTAATAATTTATACAAATGCCTTACATTCTACAAAACACATTAATTGTACTAACAATATTATGAAATCATGCCTTCTTCAATTTGTACACGCTATTTCACAATATAAAAATTGTACGACCCTGAGGTGAATTAAAGCTCCAAAATGAGTTAACATTTATATGACATATGCAAACTAAAAGAATTTAATAATAAATAATAATTTATCAGAAACCAATCAATAAATCAAACGGTGTTGAAGTACCTTTATTGATATAAACAAATTGTCTGTATACGTGTATAGTTTTTCGGAGGGGGGGGCAAAATTCTTCTTGTTTTGGATAATTTGTTTGCAATTTCATATTCCAATTTCCAAAATGCACCTATTTGCTACGCCATGATTTGATGAAATCTACAATCTAGAACCAACATGCAATAGTTGATAGTTAAACAATATTAGATTAGTTTCATAAAATAAGACTGACATATGTTTTCTACAATACAATACTACATAAACTAAGTGGCCCCATGGGCGGGGCCAATATTGATCAAATGGCCAACAAGGCAATGCTAAAAGTCAAATATCCAAGCAAAATATATTGCAATTCCACCAAAATAACACTTAAAAATGGATTGCTCATATACAAAACCTCGGGGGGGGGGGGGCCCAATATTGATAAAAAGGGGCATGAATAATGCCAGTTTTTTTCTAAAAGCGATGTTACATGCCAAATATCTCAGCGCTGGTCATCATAGGTGTCAGAGATGTCTTCATAAATTAAGTGACCCTTTGGGCGAACCGATATTGAGCCATGGGGCATAATTCATATCAGTTTTGTAAAGGTCAATAAGGTAATGTTACATGCTAAATATCTAATAAACATTGCGGAAATTTTAAAATTGATACAAAAGCCTTAGTGTGACCTTGACCTTTACACGGGAATTGTTAAACCAGAACTATGCACATCGTCTCATTATGATAAATAATTCACTGCCAAGTAGTTTCAAAAGAAACAAACCGACTTGAAAAACTGTTTACAGACAGACACCCGGACGACCAGGCGCATAACATAATACACCAACATTTTACGGGCAAATCAAATGAAACATTTTCAAAATAATTTAGAAATTCATTCAATGCACATATCTTGTCAAAGTATTTTACTCGTGAACACTACAAGTTTTTTTAACAAAAATCCGTTTAAAGCGGTACATCCTTAGATTTTCTTTCCAAAACATGAAAATGTAGAAAACGATAATTTTCATATTTGTGATGAGATGGGTAAATTTGTTAAGGACATAAACATAGGTTTTCACTGAGATCTTATAAAGTTACAGATTGATAAAACTGTATATTCCAAATTACGAAAGACATGTAATAATTAAATAAGAGGACAACTATAGGGCATTTGTGAGTAAAATAATGAAGTGCTTAAACATTAAAATTATATATTATATATTTCTAGCACCAAAAATCTTATTAAACTTATATGTGTAATATATGATATTTGATAGTTAAAGAAGTAATCTAAGTAAAATGTTAGCCTCACACTGTTAAATAAGGCTTATATCTCCACATTAACCTCTATAGAAGTTGCAACTATTTGATAATAAACGATGCTATATTTCAACATGCGATACATATGTATTTGTATTTTAAACTCTGTCACAGCTAACATATAATAACTCATAAAGCACAAATAAGAAAAAACAAAATCATTTGTGAAAACAAGATTGCTTGAAATCATTAACATTTACAGACAATAATACAATTATATTGTTATATGAATCAGTAATTACAACAGGTAATTGCTGGTATGGCTTTAAACAAGCATATTTCTATATTTTCTATATTTATTTATATGAGTTTTTAAAATACAACATTGAAAATTAGCTAATATTGTTATTAATCATTTATTGTTACCAAATATTGTCCTTAAATGCTTATTCGATTGCAATTCTAATAAGCTTGTTTGAAATTGAATTAATCAAGCTTCATGTTGTTTGTTTGTTTAATTTTACGCCTTTTTCCAACAGTATTTCAGTCATATAGGCGGGTAGTTTCCTAAGCATCGTTTCTGGAGAGTTACACCAGTACTAGACTACCTTCCTCCGCGCTAAACTACCAAAGCATCTCCCGGGGATCGAACCCACGCCAGAGAGGTAACTGGATTAGAAGTCATCGACTCTAACCCCTCTACCACTGAGCTTCTTGTATTATTAACAATATTGACGAATATTAAAATAACTGCCTAAAACTCGTCTGGCTCTATTGCTCAAATATTAATTAAAAGTAAGTGTTTAAGAAATAATAAGCATTAGAGAACCAAACACAAATGAACAAAAAGACTTGCCTGAGAGTCCGTAAGTAAAACACATATACAACTAAACATACTTATTATATACAAAATATTCAAAGACACTTGACTTGCAATGTCACAAAAAATGTAACATATCCCACTGATATGCAAAACAATTCATGACTTCACATGTGGCTTTTAGTATTCCCTCCCTAAGTGCAGATTTGGAATACAATTAATACTGTGAATCCAGCCCTATGCTTCACGACAAAACACTCAAAGTAGTCGTCACATCTGCTTAAAACTAGAAATGAAAAAGAATGAACAACAAATTTGATATGTATAAGTAGAAGTTTTGTTAAAAAAACATGTTATAAACTTCTTTACATTGTTTTAATATTAATACATTTAATTATAGATATTTTCAGTTTCGAAAGGGATATTTTATAGAAATTTTATAGAAAACATCGTTAAGAACCGTGATTTCAATTAAAAGTCAAATACTTAGGATTTCGGAGATAACACGCATTTTAAGCAATAGCTAAACTACATATATCTATAACACCGAAGAACATTTTATCTGCTCACCAAATGACACATTTTTGAGCTGATATGACATCATATATAAATTGACTAATTTTGATAGGAATTGATTGTAGATATTATACAAAAAATACTATCAACATAAAAATTAACATACCTGTTTAAAGATGTGTAATTATTTATCTTGTGTGGATGCTATTTCCTCAATAATGTTCATCACTTCATCCCATTCAACGGTGAGTGACTTTGTTGACTTCATAGCTTGAATGAGTCTATTGACGGTGGCATTTCCTTGCTGCCTTGCTTCCCATTTCAATAGCATTTTGAAGATTTTCATACTGCTTGTTTGATTGTCCATTGATATTTGATTAATTTCGGCATTACTCAAATCAAGTTCACTTCCAAGGAGTTCCCAGTTATATCCAATGGTTTGTGCTATTTTGCTAAGTTGTTTTTCATTAACCTGGCAGTCTTCTAAAAGTCCTATCGTTGAGATATCTTCAAACCATTCAGACAGTGCCTGTTTTGGGTGTATTTCGTGACTGACTGGCATATGAAGGCAGGGTTCAATGCTTTTACCTTTAAGGGTTTCCATCTGCAAGATTTCATGACTTCCATTTAGCCCATGGCATTCATCGTTGCATCTGAAGCATGTATGGAAAGGTTTACCTTGGATTGTAGATGAATGCCGCAGTTTACTGAATTCGCTGATAACCACTGACTCTGCAAATCGTCTGAACTTGTCTGCAGTAATGCTGTCTACATTTCGTGATGTGCAAAGGCTTATTACACGCATTTCAATTCTGTTCTGTTGTAATTCAACAACTCCAGCGTTCAGACTGTCCAATCTAAATGCTCCTAAATTTTCGTACAGTAAGAATTCCTTTTCTTGTTCCGATACGCTTATTTGGACAACTGACCACTTTGCTACCAGAGCGGCAACAAGACGACAATATACAATTTGCACAACTGGTGTGTACTGAAATAACATCAGAAACCTCAAAGATGTCTGCCTCTTTCCTTTAAGGAACTCTATAACTGTGTTGTTATCACTGTGGTCACGTAGAAAAATAGGGACAATATACCAGCCGAGTCCATTTGATGTTCCAGTGTTTTCATCGAAACTTTTAACTTCAGATATGATATAATGCCTTTGCATAAACATCAGAATTTCTTTCTTATGTTTGAGAAAATCATAGTTAGACTCCCAAACTCTGTCAATAAGCTCCATTGTCAACTTTCCTTGTTGTTGTAAAAGATTCCAAAAGTAGCGATATTGTGGTTCCTTTTTGCAAAATCTCTCTGAAGTAACAATACCTTTGAAGGCATCAATGAGATACTGGGTATCAAGTACAACATATGCCGATATTGGTTCTTCGTCAAAGAAAAAAAGTGTTCCTTTTGTATGGTGATAAATAAGGAACAATTTTATTTGCTCTTCTTCCTTTAATGGGAAATCATTTTGTGAATCGATTTCCACAACTTTGCTAAATGGAATTATCTTCATATATCTTAACTTAATTAGTTCTTTTTCAAGGGCTATCCACTTCGCCGGAAGTTTGATTTCAGATTGTTTCATACCAATACGTATGATTTCCTTTCGCAGCTCAACGATTTCCTTGTCGTTGATGTCAACGCTATTGACTACAAAATCTTTCGCCTGAATATGATTAAGAATGGGTGAGTCCTCAAAAATTTTTCTAATTCTTTCAAAGTATGCATCTGCATATTTTGATTTTTGTAATTCGTCCCCGGCTAATCTATCTTTATGTGTTCCAACAAGAATAACAGGAGGTTCTGAACCGTCATTTGACCCAACATATGAATGAATAGAGTTTATCCAAAACTTTATGAATTGTTCCATCGTTTTACCACCGGTTTCCATAGGGAACTCAGAATCTTTTACGACTTCTGACAATGGTGTCGATAAATCAAACACCAAGAGGTATACAGCGCGTTTGCTGTGGAATAATGTATGTGTGGCATAGAAGATAAACTGGCCAGCAAAGTCCCATATTTCAAGATTTCCAGCAATATTTGACACATAATCGTCAGATGAAAGACAAGTCGAGAATGTCTGAATTTCTTCCGGTGTGACGGTAACTTTTGCTTTTGATTCTAATACATTCTTTGTTTTCTTTTGTCTCTTTTTAGTCTTCAATGCTGATGTTTTGTTGGTATCTTCTGTAAATAGTTGTTTTGAAAATAATTCATCAGACGAATCAGTATCATATTCGGAAAATCCTTCGGAATATAATGACAATCGTCCATACTCGGATGCTTCAGTGAGATTTAGATCATCCTCAATAAACCAGCCAGACTGATTTTTTGCGACCTCAGCAATGCGGTCAATAATTTCAGTATCATCAACCTTAGACATCCTTTCAAAGAAGCTTACATCACCATTAGCCTCATAATATTTACATTGGTTAATTTCGACTCCATTTGTACTCTGAACATTTTCACACGTCTTTCCAACAAGTATTTTTGTCAACGATGTTTTACCTTGTTTAAAGTTCCCAACTACGTTCACTCTAATAGCTTTGTCAATTTCAAAACCACAAGAAAGCGCCTCTTGATACAAGTCAAAATGTATAGGATTATTTACAAACGCCCCCGGTACAAAATGTCCTCCAAAATTGATATCGCCATCCTTAACTACATGGAAATATATAAAACAGTTTCGCATTCAGTTCGTTTATATCTAAAAAGAATATTAAATTTCGGTTTTGATGATGAGTAACGTAAAATTTAAGAAATGGCAGTTGGTCAATTATGAATGCCTTGTCTGAAAATTTATTTTCTGGTCTAGTTATCATATTTGACGCTGGTTCGTCATGTTTACAAATTCAGCTAGTTACTACTATGATAAACAAAAAGGACACACTGCCACTATCTCATATAATGCAAACAAAAAAGGTTGCCCGATTTTGTAAGTCAGAGTAATAAATATTATCTCGCATGATATACATGTATAACATGTAAGGCTGCAGTTAGCATAAAGTGCCTTACCATTTGCAAAATAATTTAGAGGAACAAATGAGAATACTGAGGGTGATAGACTCAAATCATTGTGCGTCTAAAAAATTCAATATTGCGTCCAATATGGCCGCAACAAATCGACAAACAATATTTTACTCTTTATTACTTGATATTAGTCAGATGGAACATTCAGCACACATTTTTATATCCCTGTTTGTTATACACATGTTTTATTTACCATTGAAAGTATGATATCTAATAATAACAGAATTGCATTTGTGAAAAATGCTATTCGACCGCATTATATTATACAACACTAAATATAAGTTTAGAAACAGAAGTGTCGTTTTTGTTTCTATATTATTGAACTTTGCCGTAATGCAGTAAATTTGGTGATTAAGGTTATATATCAAATGACCTAGATTTCATGGCTGTACATCAAAGGAATAAAGAGTAGGTGACAACATCAAAATCTGGGTCAGCTGATAACAAAGTTAAATTTTACATTTAAAAGTGTACATATGGTCCTAATTCCATAGCTTTATATCCAAGGACAGGAAAGAAGGTCACATGTCAAAATCTAGGTCAACTGATATTTTACATTTCAAAATGAGCACATGTCCAAATTGCATGGCTGTGCATCAAAGGACAAGTAAAGATCTCATTGTCCCCTTGGGCAGGGCAACATTTTGACCCAAGGGTTTAATTCAAACAATCTTGACTCAGGTCTATTGACATTGACTTTAACCCCGAAAGCTCTTACTCCATAAAAAGTTAGATGACAACTCAAGGTATCAATCTACGAAATATGAAAGACATAATTAATAAGTGAAGGAATTAGGACAAATTTAAGATAATTCTAACTACCCGGAATGAGTTATTAAACAAGGCCGATTTTCAAAGTGATAAAAAGGGAAATAACTAGAGAAAATTAGACGTCACAGTTATAAAACTTGCCAATATCATGAATAATTTTTATTGATATGAGAGTGTGAAAATTAAGAAGCCATTAGTATATATTGAACTATACAGAAATATTCTAATTGCCGGTAAAGGTTAATTCTAACAAATTGCTGAAAAGGGCAAGAACTTAAAAAATAGAAGCAAAAGTTTTGTTACTTTCCCATGATCATGTACTTTTGAACATTATATAGCCATCAGTAGAACTTAATAATAAAAAAATGCAAGTTTCCATTAAGTTTAACCTCGTACGGACAGACGGATATAGGGATTAATTTACTGTATGCCAGGGGTATACAAATGCGCACTGATGTTATCAATTTTTCACATGTCATATGGATTCATATGAATAAAAAAGAAATATGCATGACATTGTATAGTAAATATCAATGTTTCATATTTATAATCTTGAATAAACAAACTTTCAATAGTGATAGAAAAGGAATGCACACATTTTTTATACTTACAAAAGTCGTAGTTTTCACCATCTTGGAGCTGAAAAAGAATTATAATTACATTTTATTCATTCTTTAATGAGTAATATTGTTGTGTACCTTTGTACACAAAATTAAAATTTTAACGTTTTAATAATGTAATTTTATGAGTAAAAGTACGTCTTAATTAATCTTTGCTACGCGGACAGCCAAACAAAACAAGGCCGTATACGCCTTCTCGAATGAGTTGAATGCCTTTTTTGTGATGGTTATGTTACCAGTACACAATAAAAGTGGATGCGCTAATAATAAACAAGACGAATCTTTTTAGGTTTTCACTGACCATGTATATACAAATAAGCAAAATCAATGACCAAGGGGCGGGCCAATTTTCAATCTATGTTTTTTTATGTGAACAAAATTGGTAGACATTTACTATAAAATGTTTCATGCCAAATATCTTAACTCTAGCTCTTTTGGTTATTTAGAAGATTTATTTTAAGTTTTCACTATATACATATAAGAAAAATCAATGACCCCCGGGCGGGGTCATGTTTTACTCTATGACTTTTATTTGAACAAACTTGGTAGACATCTACTAGATGATGTTTCATGCCTAATAACTAAACTCTAGCTCTTTCGGGTTTTTACAAGATTTTGTTTTTAAAGTTTTCACTATATATACAAATAAAGAAAATCAATGACCCAGGGGCGGGGCCAATTTTCAACCTAGGGCTTTTATTTGAACAAACTTGGTAGACATTTAAAATCTATTTCAGTTCGCGAATTCAGAATTTCCAATTCAGGAATTCAAGATTTCAAGTTCATAAATTAAGGATTTCAATTTCAGAATTTCACGATTTTTATTCATGAATTCAAGTTTGCAAATTTACGTTTTAACTTCCATTGAAGTTAAGATCGTGAATTCGTTAAGTTCATGAAGTTGAAAATTTGCCAGTTTACGCAAAGGAAAACATAGGTTATGAAGTTGAAGTGTGCTCTCCAGTTAATCGTACAAAACAATAAACTATATCCTACTAAGAGGTTCTTGGGATGGCGACAAGATTGTTTAAAGCGATGTATATTATTAGCTACTTCTTCCACGGCTTTATTATCAAATGTACTTTCATCTACGTCTTGTCTTTTGTTCGAAATTCTAAATATTGTGTTTCGCTTTTAAAGCTTCATGTATAATTATAAATTACAGAAAGAAGCGGTGTTACATGTGTATTATTAAATGTAATATACTTTTTCAAACACAAAATGAAATAAATGATTGATTGCAATTCATGTTACTGACTTTAGGAACACAACAAACGGATACAGAAACAAATGAGCAAGTTTAAAATGAGTAGAAACTGAAGAATAAATATGTGAACGGACACACATATCACGCAACAGGCAACGCATAATTGAACAGTTTTTACCACTGATTCTACTAGAATTAAAATTCTACAAGTATAATTCAATATTCAGTGATTCGGTGCATGGAATTGACTTTTGTCTTGTATATTGTGAATAAAAAAGGATTGAATGCTCCCTTATCGCATTGATACCGATGAAACTTATAGCAGACACTATAAATGTCTGATAAATACAGATATCCTGAATCAAATAACATTAGTATCAAGTCACCAGCAAACGACCTCGCAACGACTTAATGTTTTTTTTTTTGTTCATCCGTTTTTCCTAAATCCTCGTACAGTATTTGTGGGATATATGGTCACTGTTTTCTTTGAAAAAAAACAACATAAGCAGCAGTCATTTTTGTTTCAAGTTATGCGGTCTTAACACTTAAACTAGTAATTTTACAATATTTACTCAGAACTGTCCCTGTTTACATGTTTCTAACATTTATTTATAAGGACATATTACTAACAGTCCCAAATATAAATATCGTTAGATAAATACTGTAAGGCAAAAAGGGTCTACATAGAAATGTTAATTGAATAAGCATAGAACTAACAGTGTGTCCAAAGGTGTCCGTTGCACCACCATTCCTCTGTTTTGTCAGATACATCCTAAACAAATACTCAAGTGACTTTACTACTTTACTGGTATTGTTAATTGTAAAAGTATTTTATATATACTGTAATGTTTCAATCAGACAATTATCTAGTATCTTGAAAGAAAATACTCTGCAAAAAAATTCTTATAACACAGTTTTTGTTTACATTATTGTTATAATGTACAAACCGAAACTATGCTCCAACTGTCTGCATTGTCTTCATGGCCGCCCTACAATAAGAAAGTAAGAGAAAAAATATAATGCTTGGATTTCTTTTCAATCAAGAATTAAATGCGATCACATGACTTCTTTATAATGAAGACATAAATGTCTTTAAGCAACATTGTAATGTATTTAAGCCTCATGCCGCGTTTAAGCCCGTTTAGATGAATTATAGTTTTGCTTTGATATATCAAGAAAACAATAAAACAATCTGGCTTATAATCTGACTTACAGCCTTACTAAAACATATATTACATACATTTAGCAAAACGTAAAATTTAAGATAATATTTATGGTTTGATGGCGAAACTAAACATTTTAAATCTACAGTTTAACTGCTCTTTAACTGAATTAACAAAATTTTTTAGTGTTTTAAAGATACAAACGTGTTCCCTCCTTTTCTCTTTCTTTCTGCGGCGAAAAAACTAGAAGAGAAATATCAAATATCTAAAGCAATCACATGACCATTTTACAAAAAAGAATTTTATATTGTATTTATTTTAAATGGCAAAATCAGAATTGATTAACTGTAATGGGATGAATCTAAATACTTATAAGTTACATCAATTCTACAAATGTGTCTGAAACACAGAAATGGTTCAGAGGTTACTCTACAAACTTTTGCGAAAACTTTTAAGGCAATGCCACATGGCAAATGTTAAGCAGAATTCAATGTGTTTTCATCTACAATAAGGAAGAAATTATTGACGCGGGCCGAGATAATGGGTCGAGCAATTAGCGATCAAATGTGTCAGCCTTGTTTTGTCAGCGCTCCGGGCTAAATTGTCCTTAAGGTGACGAAATGTCATAACAAAACAATTTCATTGAGTGATTAGCACAAAGGAAGCGGCTAATTTCTTGCGGTGTTATTCGGTGTTCGTGAGAAATGCACTGCGTGACTTTTGAAAACGAATTTTAAAATGTACATATTAATGAAAAAACACACGCGGTTAGACGTAGGTTGTGTTTTCATGTTTTGTTTAAATTCTATGATAGCTAGATATATTTATATACATGTATATTTAAATAAAACAAAAACTTCTGATTGCAAAGAGTTACCTCCCATTATATACTCTTCAAAAAGGATGCACGCGAAAGCGAAAGTAGAAATAAATGATGCTCGACGGTGTCGGATTTCTCAATTTGTTCTGTCCCGGTTATAACGAGACCCGGTTATAACGAGGAATCGTCCGAAGTCCCGACGATCTCGTTGTATCCGGAGTGCACTGTACATGTAAATGAGTACATGTAACGAATGATTTAGGGCACCAATGTATCAACATAGTTTTTGTAGAGGGCAACAAGGTAACGCTACGCGCAAAGTGGCCGTGTTTAGGATATCTGTCCACGAATTGCATGTACCTTTGTAACACCATAAACTGCAGGCCTCCAAATATGTTTCATTCATTTGAATTGAAAGTTGAACAGTGAAACACAAAGCTATTATAAATGACCATTATAATGTGATTGATATACATGTATAATCACCTACAACTAGTTGTTACTAAATATTAAGAGGATATTTTTCGTTTGCGTGAAATATGCCACGAGCCAGTACGGCGAGTGAAAATATGTGGAATTGTATCATGATGAGTGAAAATATATACCATATTTCACGAAAAACGAAAACAGAAACTTTTTATTTGCGAAATCGGCTTTTTGTGGCATAACAGGTAATTGGACCTCATATAAACATGAATTAAACATGAATTACTACTACTCGCTTTAAACCTAGACTGATATCCGTTCAAGCACCATTTGTATTTTCAATATAAGACGCCGATGTAAGGACAAAACTCCACCTGCACCAAAGCACCTCCCGTCCTGCAGAAATGATGGAGCTAGTCGTATGCCGCTCTCACAAAATACTCCTGCATTAAAGTCAGTACCATATGTGTCAACATTAACGTACATAAACTTGCGTCTACCAGAGCCAGCATGATACTTGATTATAATACTTTGTAATCGAAGTAGACGCCATCTGACACATGCGGAGCCTTTATGCTTAAATATTGCAATCAATGCTGCAACAAAAGTAATGGAAACTCCATTGTTAGGAGAAACCATGTGCCACTTTTAACTTCTCTCCTGTTGTCAGAAATTTGAACATGACAGTAATCATATACGGCCTGACTTACCTCTCGCAACTTTTAGCGACGGTGATATGGGCCACCCGGAACCAACATGATATCACATGTCCGAATTCCCTTTGGCACGGTACATGCAAAAAATGTCAAGCCTCAATTCAGTGGACAGCTGATGTTTTTTTTTTCAATTGATGTTTAAGGCCTAAATGATTTATATGTTGAATTATTCCATTAAAGCCGTTCTCTTACCAATACATTTCTCCATTTCATGATTGTCTTCTTCTTCGCTATCTGACTGCTGTCAATGCATTTTATATCGCAACAGTAGCAATGAGACATCCTGAAACTAACAGCATGGCAAAGTCGAACTAGAAATGTGTCCATAGGACACGGGTGCCCCCACCGCGCCACTGTCCTGTCAATTTTTTTACAAAGTCAAAGGAAATAACTCTACAAATACTGGATAAATCCACAAGCGAAACCCCAGGTGCAAATCTAAATATGCTGAGCAGCCTGCCCGGAAGGTTTAATGAATATGTCAAATCCTTTTTTAGTGACTTGCGACACAAGTTGAAAGTTGCAAAAATTTTCTAAGTGAAGGACAATAACTCTAAAAATACTAAATAAATCCAGACGAAAATACCTGGTGCACAACTGCACATGCTGATCAATATTCCTGTAAAGTTACATGACTCTTGGTCAAATACTTTTTGAGTTACGTGCGACACATGTTGAAAATTGCAAACTTTTACTAAGTCAAGGGCAATAACTCTGAAAATACTAAAAATATCCAGAAAAAAATACCCAGGTGCACAACTACACATGCTGATCAACATTCCTGTAAAGTTTCATGACTCTAGGTCAAATACTTTTTGAGTAACGTGCGACACAAAAGTGAACGAACGGACGGACGGAAGGACGGACGGACGGACAAGGGTAAATCTATATGCCCGCCACTAACGTGGGGGCACAAAAATAAGCGTCCAGTGGTTGGTCCATTTCAATGATGCCTTACCACTGAAACTCGAATTTTCATCGGGCTTCTATTTTTGTTAGGCTATTCTTATTTCTTTATTGCCTTTCGAAACAGTCATACGATTTTCGCATGAATTTCATGCGTAATTCGCAAATACAAAATTTGGAAATCATGCTAAAAGAAGACAAAAGAATATCGTGCGATCGTCGGGCGATATTCTCGCAACATATTTGAGAACATTTTGATATAGATTACCAATCGCAACTTTACGGCCCTTTCTGTCAGTCTTCGGGTAAGGACCTTGAACACAGTTTATGACCATCTAAAATGAGTAAATTCATAAAAATAAAGGTAAACGATACATTATTTCAAAACTTGTTAGTTTGGTTGTAGAAACCGAAAGTACAAAATGCAACCATGTTGTCCTTTAGTCAGATTCGTTTAAAGTTGTACATAAGTGGGTATATTTAAATTTAAAATGGCTGTCCAACATTTTTTAAATAATTTTTGTACCGGGAAGCCTTTATATAGACCTTTGGATGTCAAATATGTATACTAATCAAAAGTTCTAACGCTCGTCTAAAAATTGACTTTATTTCAAAACAAAACTAAAACAAAAACATATGAAATATTCACCACACGTATATTATCATATTTAGTTATTGTCTACATGTACGTTTTGATAATAGCTTCATGCTTGAAAGCACACAAGCTTGGCCAGTCAAAATCGTTTTTTCTTGTGCATAAACGCTTCATGTGAAATTTCAATCAATAAAATTCGAACAAAACACTTCTAAGCGTATACCAACATGTAGCCATTTTATTGAATGATTCCATTATCATGCCTAAGCATTGAAAAAAGAGGACGTGTGTTGCAACCACTATTGAAATAAAACCACTATTGAAATAAATTATTTCAATAGTGGTTGGGAATGCATTTCATTAGAAAAATCACTTTGCAACCACTATTGAAATAAAACCACTATTGAAATAAATTATTTCAATAGTGGTTGGGGATTATTTCATTTGAAGAATCACTTTGCAACCACTATTGAAATACAACTACTATCGAAGTAATTATATCAATAGTAGTTGGGGATGCATTTCATTTTAAGAGTCACTTTACAGACACGTTTAAAGACTAATGTTTCTTTTTTTTATTGTAGACGATAATGAACTTTTTAGAAGTATTACTTTGTTATTACTATTGTAACGCAAGAAACACTTTATCTAACGAACAATATCAGATATAAAAAGTGGGTATTATACTTGCATATTTTACGGTATTAATAATCAAGACTAAAAGGAAATATGGTATAATGTTACAATTTTCACGGGTGTGCAAAAATATATAACCAATTCGCGCAAATTAAAATGCAAATAAAAGGTATTAAAGACTTATATTTTACAGTAATTATAACCGAGACTATGAATTTAACGTACCTCTTTTCGGATTTTTACTGTTGTGCAGAAATAAAAAAAAAATCTCGTAGAATGATGTATAGAATTGTTTACATATTCTTTTTTTACCTTTTTCTTTCTATTGATATATTATGTGAAAATCGTAAATTATTTGTACAAGAATTAACACATTGGAAATTACCGGAACTTCAACTCAAACCCCCTGTATATTAAAATAAATCAATTAAGGATACATGTAATTATTAACATCACCATTAAGATAAATTATTTCAATAGTGGTTAGTGATGAATTTCATTACGACCACTATTGACATAAATTATTTCAATAGTGGTTAGTGATGAATTTTATTACGACCACTATTGAAATAAATTATTTCAATAGTGGTTGATGATGAAGTTTATTACGACCACTATTGAAATAAATTACTTCAATAGTGGTGGGTTATGAATCTTATTATGAGAAATAATTTGCAACCACTATTGAAATAATTTATTTCAATAGTGGTTTTATTTCAATAGTGGTTGCAACAGACGTGCGATTGGGATGTTTCAAACCGGATCGCGCTTAAGCAATGCAGCAAGGCAAATAAGATGTGCTGAGAGTACAATACGTAGACTGTACAGAAAGTTTTTAGCTACAGGTAATTTCTTTTATTTTTTATTTATTTGTGGTTTTGTCAAAATTAATTTAATTTTATCACACAAACAGCATGCTAAATCAAGGAACAACACTATCGAAACAATTGATGGAAACCCTAGTGGTTTTCTAAAGTTACTTTCTCTAATCTTATCCCAGGTTCTGTTGCCGATCTCCGGAGAGCACCAAGACGGCGAGTTACTACACTTGCGCAAGATAATAGACATGAAACATCCCAGATGCAAAATCGCACAAGACCTGCATCTAGCGCATCGCTGCCGTTACCATCGGAATACATGGCAG